CCATTTTTAATAGGTAAATCATGGTAAATCATCAGAAATCATCTACAACTGGGCCATTGGAATTCCTCAGTTGACGGCCGTGAATACGCTACTCTCCCTGGGTGCCACAGTGGACCGGCAGGCGCCGTCGGGGGAGACTTCGGGCATGGGAACCAACAAACATGGGCCATGGCCTCCATAGCAACGCGTTTTCAATTTCCATACATTAACAATTTTGGGGTACCTCGGTTTGACCCATGTCCGGCTCCATAGCTGCACCTCAAATAGGCGTTTGGAAGGAATTCTTTTAGTCGATCCTCTGCAAATGCAAGTTGTCCTTACGATGCAGCATGGTCATGGGGAAGTCTAATATTACTTTCTCTAGAGCATCTGGCAATGGACAATCACATAAAATCACTCATTGACTGCGATGAGTATTCCATAGTTTCCCATTCAAAGCTGGGATTGTCCAATTGCCAGCCAGCCATGTTAAATGAGCAGAGGATTCATGAGAGTTTCTTGAAAGTTTCTTGGTTGTTTGGAAAGGGGTTGATCCCCATGCTGTGTCAGCTGGCTGAACTATCATCGAAAGGCCCTGGCAGCACTACGGTATATTTCTGACGTGCGCGTGCGGCATGAGATTGAGGTGGGAATGCCAAGGGAAGCACAAGAACATGGAAATATAAGGGATTGGGGAAACATGTGGATTTAAGGCACAACAATTATGGAAACATAGGGATTTGAAAGAACCATGGGGACTCGAGCTGCAATGGGAGAGGAAAGGCCCAGATCAAGTGGTTGCCCATCTTGGAACACCGCCACTTCATTTTCATCTTTTTTTGCAGGTTTGCATCCCCTCTTTGGTTATTTGGGTTTAAGAAATCTGCGACAGCTTGCAGACCCGATGTGCCAACCCCAGTTAGATCACCCCACGCGGCAGGGCAAATTCCTTGCAGCATTTCAGCGCGGGGAATGTTCCTCGACGCTGAAAGTGCTTAAGGACGACCAGGGGAAGATGTCACCACCTGATGATCTGGCATTTTTTTTTTTGCAGGTTGCAATCACAGGGAGGTGTTGAGTTGGGCTTAATACATGTTATCAAATATTATCTACAAGGATATATCGATATATTATGTATTACAGTATTATATCTGCCCGGGTCTAAAGATGGATTATACAATACCCATATCGGGGGATGGTCATCAATCCAGTATATAGTGGGGATTTACAAGTCCATTGCAAGGTTTCTCATGGTGGGATGAATGACCATAAACCATGTACCATGTCTTGAGCAGATATGCTATACGATACAATTATAATTCCATAATTCATTCCGTATGATATATTATCAATTATATCATACACGTATTGTTATTTCCAGGTTTTCCCTTATAAGTACATCTTATTCTAACATCAATATCATGAACAACATCATGTTATACAACAAAAAACATATACATTATAAAATTATAATACAAGTATACAATACAGGAATTAGATAATACATGTGTATCGATCATTCCATGATTCCATCTACTGTTTTTAAATCAGTAAGGAAATTTATGAAATTCGGTACTGTATACTGTTAGCAAGGGGATGATGTTGAGTATGACTCCCAGTCACGGATAACAAAAGATCTTGTTTATGGCAGGTTTGCCGGTTTGCCACATTAAACTGTTCCCAATTTTAGCAAATCCCAATTTCAATTGGTTATCATTGGTTATCATCCCATTTTTTGTTGGCTGCAAGTTACACCCTCCAGCAAACTAACATAAGCTGTGGAAAATCACAGTGTTTAAGAGGTAAACCATCTACAATTGTTACATTTTCAATGTTACATGTTCAATGGCCATGTTAAATTACCGAAGGGTACACCCATATCATTGCGGTAAACCCAATGCCATAAACCATCCCCAAAATCACCATTCTTATGGGTAGGATTTCAACCACACCAAATTGTAGGTTTATGGCGTTGGGCAAACCCACATTATATCCCATTATATCATGATTTTCCCAGCTATAAACCTCCATTTATAGGGGATTTCCCATTAAATCCCCATAATTACCCTCTGGTATAACATAGCTATTGAACCTGGCCATTTATAGTTGATTTACCTATAAAAGATGGTGGATCTTTCCATACTTATGTTAGTTTACTGGAGGGTAACACCAGAGGGTAAACCCCCATTCTCTTCTTTGGACTGTGGCTCACCTGCATTTTGTGATCTTGGCAGGACGTGAGCCTTTGGATCATTGTGCAGAGCGGCAATGTGAAGGTGAGATTCACAGGGGAGCACTGGAGTCACTGGACGTTCAACTGGAGGCGTGTTTCCAGTATCAAGTGTATTCCAATGATTCCAATCTTCCCAGTTTTGGTGGTTCAATTCCAATTGTTTCAACGATAGTATTATTCCAATAGTTTGGCTTATTCCAATTCTTCAAACTATTTCAATGATTAAAGTTATTGCAATTACTAGAATGTCCTCCAAATATCCTTGTTGTTATCGTCATTGTTATTCCAACTGTTCCAATTGTAGCAATGATAGCACTTTTTCATGGGGCATTTTGGATCATGAGGTATATAAATTGTTTTTACTCAACGAAGGACGAAGTGAGCTTAAAAGAGGTCAATGACATGGATTTACGCGAATCACAACAGTGTGGAATCCACAATAGTAAAGCATCCCCAGCTATCAACCGTAGTGGGGGCCTGTTGTTTGAATCATCCCAGAAATCGCGGTATACCCGATCTCAAAAAAGACCTATTGTCAGGGCATTGTTACTAATTTGTGGTTCATCATTGCATATGGCCCCACGTAGGATGATTAATCATAGCCCCAACGGTTGATATTTGCGAATGGTTTATGGCATTATGGATCTCCCATTGGTAGGAAAACGATGTGGTCCGAAAGCATCGTGTGTTCTGATCAATTTTGGGCAATGGCATCAGGTATTATCAGTCCTGTTATTCCCATTATGACTATTGCTGTACTATGTTCATTATTCCCATTACAACTATTACTTTTTATTCTCGAGATTTCATTTATCATTATTAATTATCCATGATAATGATGATGACGATGATGACGATGATGATGATGATGATGATGATCATGATGATGATGATAGTGATCATTGTTCCTTACGTATATATATATAATTATATATATGTATTACTATATATATAGTATATGAACTGTTTTTTTTGATGATGAGGCAAGCTGATACCCATTCCAGGCAGCCAAGAAGCGCCTCAAAGACCAGAGTGACTCCGCAGATGCCGCTTGGGCTTGGCCAATTTTCGGGGAACAGAGGTTTTCTACAACATCTCAATCTCAGCCTAGAATTGAAGCTTCCATGATTTTTTAGAGATGTTTGTTATTGCTTGATTTCCCTTTATGCATAACAAAATCAGTGCGATGTTTGCTGCTGAAAGGTCTTCAGGACTGAGATGCCATGTCAGACGTGCGATCCCTTGATTTTTTTGTCACCACGGAAGAATCATTGCATATCGATTCTTATGAGTGTATGACTGGCTGTATGGCTGTATATATGTAACCAAACCGGGCACTTGCGATTAACATACGTATTTCTCGATTTGTTTCAAGTCGTGGATGGCATATGCACGCTTTCAAAAGTGGAAACCCCACCGAACCACCAAAATATTAGTTATTTTCATTTGGGAGTTCCCCAACTGGAGAAACACCTTCAGACGGGGTGCAGATCCTCCGATGAGGCAGGAGTTCTGTTGGCCCTGCGGCGATGTCGAGACGGAGACAAGAAGGAGCGGTGTCAGGTGCTTGCGATCTTAACTCAAATTGTTTTGCAAAGAACCTCGACTTCAAAGGTCCATCCATATTTCATCCATATTTCATGCAAAATTCAGATTAGATCGGTTGGATATTCAACATTGTTTGATCCAACTGGACAACCTTTTGATCTATCTATATATTGTAACACATATGGCTATGGGTCAAAACCCTGTGCCCCTTCTGTTGGACGTCAAAATAACTGGTAGTTCATGGATGTCTATTTTGTTCATTCCTTCCAAATTTGGGGTTTTAAAGGTATTAACCCATCCCCAATTTTGTGTTCAATAATCATTTTCCTCAACTGGCGATAAAAAAAGGCAGGGACAATCCCACATTTTCAGACCCTAATCATAAAATATCATAAAAATATGGTAAAAATCATGACATCCCCATTGTATCCCCATCAATCCTCATTGCCATCGTTGTTCGATTCCCGTAAAAAAATCTCAGATTTTCTACAGATCAAACACGCGCGTTTACAGGAGCTGCGGCGCATCATGGTGGAGAAATTCGGTGGCCACGGCGATGTTTTGGATCAATGGATTGGTGGGAACATCGACAGGAAGTTTCCCGTTTTTTTTTCCCATGAGAAAAATAGGGGGATCCTGTAACAATTCATAAACCATCCCTGAAACATCACCAATCCATTGAGAGAGAATTTGGGTGATTCAACCTCCAACTAACATCTAGACATTCCTGACCCAGCATGAAAGTAGGTGATGTTTCCAGACGGGAAACCATGGCTTTTCCAGATTTATGTTAGTTTACCCGGAGGTGATTACCCTCTGGTAAACTAACATAGCTATTGAAAATGACCATTTGTAGTGGATTTTCCCATTAAAAATGGTGATTTTCCATAGCTACGTTAAATTACCAGAGGGTATCACGATTCCATGATCTAAAACGTTCTGTTTTTGTATCTAAATCAATTTCATGAATCGCCTCTGAATCACCCGAATCAACTGAATCATCATCAAGTTGATGGTGGGGGTACCCCAAAGAACGCCATGTGGGTCAAATGTGTTCACCCCAAATGGGATATAAATGGATAGTGAACGATCCAGAAAAAAATCTGAAGAACTATGTGGGGATGGATCAACACCGATGAACGCCTTTTTTTTGGTGTTGAGATGAACATCCATAAACCCCAGGGCCCATCCCCATATGCTGTCCAGGTACCCCATTCCATCCATTGATTTGTCATCATTTCCCTTTTCAAATGGCCTGCGGGCATGCCCATTTCAGACACAGCCAAATCATACAAGTATCGTATAGCATGGTTGCATACCCATTTTTCGCACATTTTCCAAGAATGTACACAAATGTACTGTAAAATCCATGGTTTCCAATTGAGTTTTTTCCCCCAAACACATCCAATCTTCGGCCAGGCGAACGCTCAGTGGCAGGCTGGTCGGCGGAGGCCCGACACCAAAGAGTTCTCAGGTGGTGAATTCCCTCACTGATTGCTGATGGTTGGATACCTCTTTTTGGCTGTCTAAATCCCAAGTTGTTCGGAAAAAAATCTCCATTTCTGGTTGCTGCACTCCCTGTTTTGCAGGGTATATCTATACGTTTCATGGTTACAGTAAATCAAGATCTTTTTTCATGCTTAAGTATGCTTAAGTTATTTAAATCCCGATATTTTTTGCTGGCCAAATCCATATTTTTTAATGATAAAATCATCATTTTTTCCTCTCATTTCATCCGCTGAAACGCAGCAGTTCTCTCAGGCCGCCACCTATGAGCTGGTGACAGAACTGCGTGAAGCATTGATCGACAAGCGCGACCCAGATGAGGTGTGACTTCACCATTGAAAAATGGAGCTGTTGAAGGAGTTTTTCCAGGAAAATTCGAGATCCAACCATCGAGATTTTTGCGGACAGCATTGATGAATGATGGATTTAACTTGATTTGACCATCAAAATTGAGGTGTGACCAGGATTTGAAAGTACCAGCTTTGCATCTTTCATGGTCACAGATTCCTTACTGGATTTGTTTAAGGCAAATTCTACGGGAAACTATGCTTTCAAGCCTCGAAATACATTGGTTTCCTGTAAGGTTTTCCACCCAATTCTTTTTCAATGGTTGGTGCTTGGCTCATCTTTGGCTCTCAGATTTATATCTTGTTCCAACCGTGAAAATCGCAGCCTAGCTCTGCTTAAAATGGCCATGTCCCAGAAGCGCAAACACGAAGATCTCCGCATGCTGGACTTGGTGATTGCAACCAGGGAGAACACGGCGAAGTTGGGCTATTTTGTTGATGACACCGTGGTGAATCCTGGCTTGGGCATCCCCTACTACAAGACTGTCACTTGGACTCGGCTTTTGGAAAAAATTTGGAGCTGCCCGTTTTGACTCTCAACACAAACTTGAAGACGGCCATTTTGAGTGTCTCTTGAAATTGGCCAGCCCACATTTTAAGGGTTGCTTCATATGATATAAGGCTATTTAGGTAAACTGTATATCTATATCGATAGGGTTGCTTCATATGATATAAGGCTATTTAGGTAAACTGTATATCTATATCGATAGGGTTGCTTCATATGATATAAGGCTATTTAGGTAAACTGTATATCTATATCGATAGGGTTGCTTCATATGATATAAGGCTATTTAGGTAAACTGTATATCTATATCGATAGGGTTGCTTCATATGATATAAGGCTATTTAGGTAAACTGTATATCTATATCGATAGGGTTGCTTCATATGATATAAGGCTATTTAGGTAAACTGTATATCTATATCGATAGGGTTGCTTCATATGATCTAAGGCTATTTAGGTAAACTGTATATCTATATCGATAGGGGTGCTTCATATGATATAAGGCTATTTAGGTATAAACTCTATATCTATATCGATACAGATATACCTGTATATCGATGTATCTATGTATTCCTATGTCCATATATATATAATTATGAACCTATAATGTGCAGGTATCTTTATATATATTAATATATATATATATCTCCTGATTCCTTCACCGAAGTTGCAGGGGCCTGTCGCCGAAGTGGCTGTGCCAAGGTGATTGAAGGCGCCAACTACGCGGAAGCGGATTGGAAGGACCAGGCAGGGACGTTGGGTGACACCCAGTGGATTTCCCAGTTCAGAACTGGACAAGAAGCCGTATACACCATATACAATCATTGTATATGTATATAGGTAAATGTATATGTGCCTAGATATGCGTAGATATGGTAGATATGCGTAGATACGGTAGATATGCGTAGATATACATATGCGGAGATATATGCATATACATATGCGTAGATAGATGCATATGCATATGCATATGCATATGCATACGCATACGTATACGTATATGTATATGTATACGTATATGCATATGTATACGTATACGTATATGTATACGTATACGTATACGTATATGTATACGTATATGTATATGCATTCATACATATATATATATATATACGATATGTATACACACACACACACAAAACTACGGTATATCCACAAGAACGAAGGTTACAACGGTAGTTTTATTGACCGTGTACCAAGTTGGATGCACATCGAAGTGGAGTGGATGGTTTGAGACAAAACATCACCGCAGGTTGTGAGTGGTGCACGCTCCTGGCCACGGTAGTTGAGTGGTAGGTACTTCTAGACCAAAACCTTGTTTTTCGATGTCTTGGAAACTGCTAACGACACAACTTGCTAACCATTTCCAACGAAGTTGCCTGGTAACCACTAGTAACCCTGTAAAATCTCCAGCAGATAGTCAGATATTCCCAGGAAAAAACCCAAACCACATCCGCAGGCCTGTGTTCGCACCTCCCAAATTCACTGGCGAGACGATCACAGCGTCAGCTGGTTGGAGCGCCACCTGGAGATGACTCAAGGCTTCATCGTCATCGGAAAAAATCCAGGCGCGATCTGGGATCAACGTGTAGAAAGCCACGGGAGCGTTGACCAAAACATGGTTGTAAAAAGCTTCAAAGTGGCCCAAAGATTTGGGAGGTGAAAAAAACTTTTTGTACCCGGTGAAGAATCTTCTGGGCTGCAGAGAGGGTTCAAAAGCATTCAAAAGCCCCATCTGTCAACATTTAGATTACTTGGGCGTCCTCTGGTTACATGGGGCACAATGCTTTCAGTCTCCTAGAGCCCCAGAGTGTGAACCGTATCCAGAAAACATCAGGAGTTTGGACATGATCATGATTATGGATAGTAGTTTCCAGTATTGGTCACCCCGCCACTGTTCTATCCCAATCTTTTCAGCTTAGTTTTAGGTTCCCATGTAAAAATCCTGATGTTTGCTGCTTCATGTTGCCCCTATCCCCCGGTAATCGAAGTTGGCAGTGGAAGGATCACTTTCTTCAGGTGATTTTTGGATCAATTTCCAGGGTCTCCAGTAACACTTTGTGACTTCGCCCCAGCCACCCAGGCCCAAGGGTAGTCCCAGGCCTCATCGGGCTCCAACGCGCCAGGTCTCTTCGTCCTCGGCGAACCCACCCAGGACCGCGAGGATTTGGATGAGAAGCATCGCGGCCTACCAGACCCCAGTCGGGTGAAGGCCTACATCATCCCAGCCGGCATGGGGCTCATCTTGAAGAAAGGCGAGCTGAGCTGCGGGAAGTCATGGTAGAAGATGGTAAAACATGGTGAAGTCATGGGGCATTTCTGAGTTCATGAGGTGGTATAGATTTAGTATCACTTATCCGAACTTGGAGGTTTGATATTGGGTTTACCACATCAACACCACATTATTTTAGAGCGTCAACCCTGGATTCAAAACTCCTTCCATGGGAGTAACCCCACATGATCCTAATCAGCTCCGGCGGCATGTGATCCGCAACCACTGCAATCATTCCTTCAGATGATGGATGTGCATAGATGGGCGAAAAATCAACGCCTCGGTAGATCATTATGCCATCAATCATGAGTTTTTGCGGTCAAATTTCACAGTCAGAAGTCCATTGTTACCATGATTGCTTTGAAGTGATCGTTTTCAGCCTGGACAGCCGTTTTCTCTAAGGTGATGGTCTTCTGTTGGTGATTGGAGATTACACTTCGTAAATTCTCCTCTCAGGTCACAATGAAAGCTGCTCAAGGGGTCATTGAGCATCTCATTCCCTTCACGGCCATCGACTTTAAAAAAGAGGTCGACTTTAGCCACAGAATTGGTCAAATTTAGTACATCAAATCATCAAGATTTTGACCCATAGCCCATAGATACCCATAGCATCATGTTTTTGGCCACGTGCCTGACAGGCACGTGGCATGACTTCCCAGTGTCCTGTGGTCCTCCCGTTTCTGCGTTCATTATCAACACAGAGGCCTGGGGTGGCCATGATGAGTGACTGGGGTGGCTGGCAGTTGATGAATATCAGCTCTATTTGGGGTAACAACATTGAGAATTCAAGGATCAAGGGTGGTTCAGGTGGCTTGTCCAGTTGGGGTGTTCAGTTCCATGGAAGTGAATGCATTAAAGTTGCCAAAGATGGGGAGCTGAATCCTCCATTTGCAGACCCACATGGATTGACCAAGCTTACTGGAGCAACCATAACTATCCATAACTCATTTATGATCTTTATGAACTATAAATCTGCATGTTTGTTGGTTAAATCATGTGAAATCCCAAGTTTTTCTAGGTGAAATCCAACCTCCAGGATTTTTCTGGTCAATCCCTGGCAATGGCAGGAAGTGGTCGAAGCCTTAGCGACGATGCCGCAAGCGGCCCCAATGAACCATGGAGATTGTCTCTTGGTCGATGTGGGGCCACGGTTCACCCATTTGGGGGCGGATATGGGGCCCCTATAACTATGGTATAACTATGGTGAAATATGTCCAAGGATAATCACAACTGGAACCGCACCCCCAAGTGGTTTCGCGGTATGTTCGATCTATGTTCAGGTGGACTTCCATCCAAAACGTCATCGACCAATTGGTGGAAATCGCTGCATGTCGGTTGTGAACATGAATGCATCACTGATGGACATCCATTGGTTCAGAGGTATTGTGACCATCATTTGATTAATCCTGATATTAGAGAGTTATGTCAATTCACCAGCATACCAGCATACACAATCTTGTTTGCAGCTCATATTGGTCAGCCTTTTCCCATTTCCAGATTTTTCCTGAGTTGCCTGCATTGCCGAGGCTACAAGTTGCGGCTGTCCGAACAGTGGGACTTCACCCTGAAGTTTCCTGATCCACGGCCCTTCATTCAGAAGCATGGTCTCGCACCGACGCCTTTCCCTGTACCACTCATGGGCAAGGACTGGGGTGTGGAGCGGGCGGAACTAGACATACAGGGCACTGAAAGGTGGTTTATTTATTGGAATCTCAAATAGGGCCGATTCCCAAGATGAAGTTTGATGCAGAAGAACAGTTTTGAAGCGGCAGCGGCTGGTACCTAACCAGACCCCTTCGCCCAATCTTCCTGGCAAGGAAGGCTATGGCGCCAGCATGCAGCGACAGGAAGTCCAACCTGGCTGGGCGAAGGGCAAGAAGGTGGTGGTGGTGCCATATGTGATATATATATATATATGTGATATATGTATATATATATAATATACACATTTATATCCATCCAGTGAATTATTCCATTCGCTGCTACCTGATGTATGATTCCTTCGTATTCTTTTTCATCACCCAAACTCATCAACTTCAGAAA